TTGAAGCTGTAAATTCCATGGCGTGTTTTTCTGAAAACATCTATCAAATTTACTGTACAGAATGTGTTTCTCTCTGTACAACCGTGCTAAAACAGTAGAAAAAAAATAGGCAACACTTAATACTAATTAAGCATAATTAATACGAATAATGTGTGACTGATTCAACACCACAAAAAACACTTTACTAATATTTTCAGTAGCTGCAAAACGTTGCTTCTTAGTTTTGAGAGCAGCACTGACATGCTTCTAAATCAGTGTGTTCTGGAGACGGATCCTTGTGGTGGACAGTAATAATTATTATATTATTTCCCTTCAGGAAACCCCTTTTATTCTCTATGAGACATGAAATGTATACTTCTGACAAATGGGATAACCACACCAATGCTGAAGCTACTGGTCTGTCAGAGTACAAACTGCAAATTTATCAAACGTATAAAATGAAACAAAGAAGAACAGATACAGTACTAAGCACTTGATGAGGAAGGGGAGGAGAGGGCTTGCCAGTTGTGTGGGTGAAAAGAAGACTGAGAAGACAGATTTGGTCCCAAAAAAATAAGATGACGAATGTACTTATTACTCCAATTCCTCATGACTCAGAGAGGCTTGGCCAGATGGATAAACTGTTGTTGCTATCATCAGAGAGTAAACATTTAGATTTGCACAAGACAAATCTACACTTCACATTGACAATACAATAGACAGAAAGTACTAAACAGTATATAGCATGATGCATAACTACTGGTACTAATTTTAAATTACAAAGCGTATCAGCACATTCAGGGAGAAGCACCCCAGAAAGGTCTAAGCAGGACAGAATTGAGGAATGGGTTTCTGACAGAGTTCACATCTGAGAATGTCTTACTTTGAGTAGATCTGAGATTTTTATATTGTTTTTTTCCGATGGTAAAATTATTTTATAAAACTGCAGAAGAAACACCTGAGCCTTAATATTTTTCATTTAAAATGCATTTAATTCTTTTTTTTATCCTAATGTGGAAAAATTAAAGTGCAAGAAAAAAGCTGCTCTTGAAAAAGTTATATTATTTTAAAAGGAACAGTTTCATTTAAATGCCATTCTAACTTATTAAAACCCTTTTCCAACCACAAAATATTTAGCTGTACATAAATTCAATTTTCATCAACTCTACATAACCCTTAAAACAAACTCTAGGCTCACAAAACTTTCATCTCCACTCATCCTTCAAAAAGTCAATAGTGACAAGCTAGATGCAATTATTAGCAAGGTGTATATTTGGTATATTTAGTTTAGGGAAATAAATGTCAAGCACAGTAAAGCAATTTTCTTTTTGAAGAAAAACTACTTGAAATAACAGGTCAATAATCCCAACAAAGCCTGCTCTGCATATATAATCTGTTATCATTGTCCAGCCAATTCTTTCAGAGCCAAAGTTCACTGCATTCACAGACATGAGTGTTCAAACTATTCCAATTATTCTTGCATTACACATAAGATGATTATTCAGATGGAAGTGATTTTCCTCTACCTTGATGCTAAAACATCTCGTATTCTACATTAAAAAAGCTTGAATTTCCAAAGTATCTCTAGGTGCTGTGAAAAGACTTGCCTTTAGCCATGTATTCAGTGACAATGTAAATGGGCTCCTCAGAAACCACAGCATACAGAGGTACTAGTTTATCATGCCTGAGCTTCTTCATGATCTGTGCCTCCTGCAGGAAGGCCTCAGGCGACATTGTCCCAGGCTTTAGAGTTTTAATGGCAACCTTTGTAGTTCCATTCCATGTTCCTGAAATCCAAAAATGCAGAAATAAAACATATGGTAAGAACAAATAAACAGAAAACCAAGGAGGTCTCTACAGCTTCAAGGAATAAGTACTAAATACTCATTTAATAGGAAAGCAGTGGGACTTGGAGGTCTTGAAACACTGAGACCAGTGACAAAAATAATTAATGACAATTAAATGTTGCCAAACTACAACTCAATGTTTCAATGTATTTATACCTGTCTAATTGTTATTTTTATTCCTAATTTATTTTTATTCACATGTTCATCCCATGATCATCCCTTCCCCATGGGAAAATGTCCACCTGTCAACATAAGTCAAAATTATATTGTAATTATTACTTGTAAGGTCCTATACTGGCAAATTGTTGTGAAAGGCACAAAAATGAGTTATTGAACTGAAGTTAATGAACTTCAGCTACTGCCGAAAGAGGAAATTTGATATGGGAATGCTCTGAACAGTACAAAGTTTTCACCTTATGCAGATAATCCATTTGTAAGTAACATTAAGATTTCCAGAACTGTATATATCTCTTACTTGGTTTCAACATGTAATATGCATTGCTCAAAGAAAACAGATACTGCAAGAAATTGTTCTCACCCATCCACACTTCTCCGAAGCATCCCTGCCCAAGTTTCACCTCCAATCTCAAGGATTCTCTAGGAATCTCCCAGGCATCCTTTGCTAGACCTTGTGTCTGTGGCTTCACAGTAGGACACACTGTTGTCAGTCTGTGGCACAATCCATCAGCATGTTCTGAGAACATTAAAATGGAGTAACCTTAGACAACCACAGCTTTTCCAATCAGTGAGGTTCTTCACAAAGTTCAGCTTTGTCAAGCAAACACACACAGCTTGTGAACTACTATCATTAAATATGACACATACTTACTACTGGTAGTTTATTTTATTACCTGTGTAGTGTTTGACCAGCTTTTGTAGTGTTTCAAATTGTGCTCTTGTTGTAATGTAGTAGCCCCCATTGTCAAGTTTTCGGATTTTGTAGTGTTTCACATTGTCTCCTTTCATCTCATCCCAGTCCCGAATGGAAAGGGAATAAGCACCTAAGGAAATGAAATCAATGTAGAAGTAACAGTCAATGGAGTGATACTGAATATCTCTTATGGAAACAGTTTATGCATACAGTACCTGTAAATAATAATAATATAATAATAAACTTTATTTTATATAGTGCCTTTATAGGTGGCTTCTCAAAGTGCTTTACTGGATGACAATAACAATAAATAAGATGAATACACAAGATAAGACACAATTACAATATATAGAGGAGACAGTGGATGGTGGTACTAAGAAGAGCAGAGGGGTGAAGAATGGAACCAGTTAAGTAAAGGCTTTTCTGAAGAAGAGGGTTTTGAGTCAGGATTTGAATTTAAATGCCATCACTTTGATTTTACCACTGGAAAGTATTTTTTCTTAATTCATCTACTGGAAGAAGCATTTACTTTGAATCAGAATATGCTACACAAGTAGCCAGTTTCATCTCTGCTGAAAAAGCTTGTACAGTACCTAGAAAAAGATTACTAACTACTGAATGTCTTCATACAAAACTGTTATATTTAATGCACAGAGGCTAACACCAAGCTAAAAAAAACTTTCTGCCTCTCACTTAACATTACAGCAATTAAGTGTTTTCCTTCAACAATCCATCAAGCAGAGTCTACAGGTGAAACTAACCATTGATTACATTACAGTCACTCATCACATTTCAGTATGGCATACTATTTAATATATACACTTTTATTGTTATCTATTCTTCAATGATATGTCTGGCAGTATTTTTTCAACAGAACAGAGATGCAAGTAGTGGAAATTTTATATTATATAGATATTTTAGATAATTATAGTTAATACTGTTACAGCTTTAGGTGACTGAGAAGTGTCTCTTGGATTTTAGATAAAGTTTGTGACACTTGGAAAAGTAAACACTTCTAACTTCAAAGCAGAGAGGAAGCTTGCTGAGGTCTAGGGGGGTCCCTTGAGCTGAAACAATTGTAAAGTTTACCTTAGTATACCTAGGGAAGTTGTGGATTAATGATTGTCAAGGAGCAGTACAGACACACAATATAAGATCACATTAAGAACACAGAAAAAAGAGAAGAGACAAAAAGAAGCAGGGAAGAAGGAGAGGAGAGACAGGAGTCTACAGGATTTGGGACTTGAAGCTTGTGCCAGGAGAGAGCCCCTACTCCATGATCATCCAAATCAAACCTGACTGGAGCTAAGTGTGTGAAACTTGTTTAGAGAGTGTGCTATTCTGTGTTTTTAGGGAACTTGGGTTTCCTGGGTAAAAGATACTTCAGAAACTATCCTGCTCAGGGTGCATTTTTATGGATAGGGAAATAGGCTCCCAATTATTTTGTTGCATCCGGGGTGCCGAGAGATACATTTAACTGCAGATTGCATTGTATTTAGTTAGAAGGCAGCTCATCTCTTATGTAGCCTCTGTAGGCATTAAGAGTTTAGCCACATGTGCTTGGATTCATACACCTCTTAACAAAGCTGTGCCAGAGAACAAATAATTCACGTGCCTCTAATTATACCAGCCACTCGGGTATATTGCTAGAAATCACTTACAAGTTGGAAAGCTTATGAATAATTATTTCACTTATTGACTTAACCGCTCTGTCCATTCCTGTTTTTCACCAGTTTCGTAACAATCTTAATTTTATATTAAAAAGACAGCAATGTTTTACTATACTGCTACCTGCAATTTAAAGAGGTATGTAGTTGTGAAATAACTAAAAATGAGAAATACTAAAAAGGTACATAGAGAACAAAGTCTGACGGTTTTACCTTTAGTAGTTTCACTTTCTCTCACTAAGAAAGTGCCTCTCTGGTTTCCTGGATTCAACAGCAGCCGTTCTGCATCTTTGCGTCCCATTTTTCCAAAGTACCACCTAGAAAGCCATTTTAAATACATAAGCATAATTAGAACTATTTAATCAAAGACTGTTCAAGGGTATTTTCTGTAAAGTTTAGCATTAAGCTACTGCAAGCAGTTTAAACATCTGCCATCTACAGGTTATTTTTTGGCTAGTCAACAGCTGAGAATTTATTCCAAGGATACATTTTTGTATACACATATCGCTGAATAGTATGGCTATTAAAACCAAGACTTTAGGAAACATAAAAGTAGAAAATATAAATCAAGGTATTCCAAAATAAGGTAAGCATCTTAAGACAATAAAAACACGAGTGTTTTCTACAATATAATGAAACTTAAGTGTTTTTACTCAATTTGATTTGCAAAGAAACAGTTACAAAGTTATTCTGAAAACAAAAATTTCAGTAACAAGTCCCCGTCAGCTGACTAATACTATAATTTGATAATTTTTCAAGAAAAAAAGAGCTGTAAAACAGGACACGAGAAGCAATCAGAAAAAATGGGGAACAAAAACCTACCAAATTGACTTAGTTAAACAAAGTCTTTATCCAGCTTTAACGAAAACTCTAAGTGACGTCTAAATACATCAGCATTCACAATGTGTGTACTGCTCCTGGGGAGGTCATAGATTTAGAGCTGGACTACAACCATGCAAACAGCACTTAGAATCTGGAGACAGATCATTCAGAACCTAACAGGTAAGCAGGAAAAGCAGGAACTGTATGCCAATGGAACTGGCAGAGAATGGGAGATGTGTGCTGTTGCAGAACAGATAAGATCACTTTCTTAACACTTTCAAAAACATGGGGTGAAGGTCACAGTGAAGCAAACCAACATCAAGGTTAGCAGACAACAACTGGATTCACCCACTGATGCCCCCGCCAGTACAAAAAAAGTTTACTCATACTAACAAATTTCAGTATTGTCTAAAGTAAATCACAAGAAAGTGCAAATAAAAGTCCACCCCTTACATAAAACTCTCTTGTGAGTGGATCTACATTTAGATTGAAAACAGCAGGGGTATTATAAATAGGCTTTGCTTGTCGTTTATAAATGAAAAACCTCAATCCATGTTGACAGTAAAAAAAAAATACTAATCCTTAACCTCAAAGTGGAATGGAAAATTCATGAAAGAATTAAATTACCAATACATCTTAAATAACCTGAGAAGTACGAAAAACAATCTCCGAACAGTGTTTGTTTCTTTAATGCCTACAGTAGAAATGTATGGCAAGCGATCATGCCCTCTCAATTACAATTAAGTGCAATCAGATCATTAGATAAACAGCAAGAAGAATTGGCCTTACTCTTCTGCCTGAATGGAGTCTGCCGGAGCCACGTAATTACTAGGAATGTATCCTTTCTTCCCTGTATTAATGGACCTTGCTTCCCACCAGTCACCCTCCCTGAAAAAGGGGGAAAACACAGTTAGACTTCAGCCGGTTGTGGCCTTTTCAGCAGAAGGTATTTTTTTGCTTCTTCAAATTATCGTCAATGTCCAAAATTTGCAAAACACTTAACATCAGGGCTGTTCAACCTTTTCTGTGGAAAAGGCCATGTTAGCCACCTGATGACACACAGCTTTTGACAAAAAATTCAGTTAAAGAGAAAGCAATAATCCAGCAAATTTAACAGTATGCTAAAGCTTCTACATCACGCACCGCTGTGGATGCAAAATCTGTTATTTATATATATATATTTTTAAATGTCCTGTGTCTTTTAAGAATTCCTATCTGAAACATTAATGCCGAAAGCAATGAAGAAAAATATACCAAAAACATTGATTGGTGAACTATTTTCATTTTATACCCCTTATACTCTTTTACTATGCTCATTTGCTGGCTGTCTGGAGTCCCACAGGGCCCACAGGTGAGTTTGCATCAAGTGCAACAATGACCTCAATCTCACTCACAACATCACTAGCTCTCAGGCCGCCAACAAATCACAGGGACTGTTGCTGCAGAGCCAAAGCTGAAAATACTCTAATTCAGTGCTCTGAAAATCCCCTGGCCAGCCGTACTAAGGTAGTATTAAACGGAGTACTGCAATTTTCATTTAATTTTTTCCACATTTACAATAAAAAAGGCAAGGTTTAAATCTCATATTTAGCTTATTTAACACAAATGCAGGGATACTACACAGAATTGGGTCCCCACAATTTTTTTAAATAAAGACCTTTTTATGGATAGACAGATGTTTGTAAAATTTCATGTTTCACAGTGTGTTAAGTTATTTAGAAATGTAGAAGAGATGGGTGAGAATTGCAAAAACTCATTCTCCTTGAATGCCCCGAATAAAACTGAATGATATTTCTTTAGTACTCACGTGTTATTAATAATCTGGAACCTATCACCTTTCTTAAATGAAAGGTCATCTGAAGTTCTAGCTTCATAGTCATACAAGGCCACAAAAAATGTAACCCCACCTAAAGGCAGAAAGAAAAAGTTAGTTTTAAAAAAAGGAACAGTTAAAACTCCAAGAAAGTGTGATAAATACTTTGTATCTGATACTCTGGTATATTTGCACACTTTTGTATGTATCACAGTGGATTGTTTATACCTTCATTACCTGAACTATGACCAGCCCTTCATTAAGTTACTCTCACTGTCCGTCTGAAGTGCTACTTTTATGTTTATTTGCAAAACTAGACACACCCATACCTATTTTTACGAACATAGTTTGTACCCATTAACTCTTGTGTATACTGAAAATTCCTAAAAAGAAATAAAATATTTACATTATTTCTTATGGGGAACAATTATGATCCAGACCCCAGAAATAACACCCCTTTACTTTTTTTTCCCACCAAAAAATAACAAAAGAAACAATAATCTAACATTCAGACTGCGGCTTTTGTTTAAAGTAATAAACCACTTAATTTGCCTTTTGTGTAATTAGCCAGCTGCCCAGTTGGTCACAACTTGCAACCCATTGAAGCTAAGCAGGTGTGAAGGGAGACCTTCTGGGGAAAACTAAGGTTGCTGCTGGAAGAGGTGTTAGTGAGGCCAGTAGGTGGCGCTCACCCTGCGGTCTGTGTGGAACCTAATACCCCAGTATAGTGACAGGGACACTATACTGTAAAAAGGCGCCATCCTTCGGATGAGACGTATAACCAAGTTTCTGACTCTGCATGGTTACTAAAAATCCCAGAGTGTTTCTTGAAAAGAGTAGGACACATAGGTGACCTACCCAAAATTTCCCTCTGGCCTTTACCAATCATGGCCACCTAATAATCCCCATCTATGAACTGGCTTCATCACTCTGTTCTCCTCCCTACTGATGCACCAGTACGCTCACCACACACCAGCTATGGCTGCTGTTGTATCATCCAGGTGGATGCTGCACATTGGTGGTGGTGGAGAGGAGTCCCCATTACCTGTAAAGTACTTTAATTGGAGTGTCCAAAAAAGCGCTATAAAAGTGCAGGGGATTATTATTGCAAGTGACCAGTTTATGATCAACAAACACAGGTGGGAGCCCAATGTATCACACACTTCCACTTCTGTGTTTGTGACCTGGTCTCAATTCAGACAACACACCGGAATGAAGGCAGTTCTGAAACTCACTAATTAGTATAAGGATGACACAAATCAGAAACCCCATTCAATGCCTTATACTTTCAACAGCTATCAACAGAAACTTCAAATATTCCTGCTCTGAAGAACACTGCTTGAACAAAAGCCAGAATACACTTGGGGCAAAAGGACCAACGCTGTGTATCAGTGCTGTTTCTCATATTACTCAATATCTGCAATAGGAATTAGGGGGCTTATATTTACACCTCAAAATCAAACTACCATTTTATTATGTTATTTAATATTCAACATCAGACAATCTAATGCAAATCTAATGCAAATCAGTAAGATAATTTGATGCGCAAGCAATTTTTCACACAGTTCAGGAGTTTTGGTGAAATTAGTTCATGCTTTCTGCATATATCACTGCTACATTTTATCATGGAATACAACTTGAAAAAATAAGAACTTTGATAAGCCTAAGATTTCTTGTTTAATGAGAACATGCCATTAAACACACACGCAGATTTAACATATTTTGTTGAATGCATTTTGGATGTGGAAGCCCTTTACTAAAGGTAATTAATACAGCAACTACTTAAACAGTCTAGAAGTCAAAGCTTTAGAAATATTTAAAATTGTCCCGGAGAAAATGACTGCATCTCTTGATCTCAATAGTACTGCTGATGGTTTATTCCATACACAAATCAGAACATCTGTATTTTAGGAATATTCTTATATCTGTGATGGCAACCACAGTGTTCCTGCAATGGGTTCTGAAAATTAAAAGCCCAGGATAGAACTCCAGAGTCTATTAACTAACATATATACAGATGGGAAGAGCAGAGATGAAAAACAAACTAAATGCACATTTGCAGGGTGCTGTGTTATGCATCACAGATGTACTCCTGACAGTACCAAGGGTTGTACCAATTTTGAGGCACTTGATTATAGGGTGCAATGGGTCTTTGGGACTACATTTATTTTATTGATTGAGCCACCTCCAAGCCTTTGACTTGAAACATGTTTAATTCAGCTGACGTATCAATTGATGTTCCAGACCCTGTAATTAAGCCTAATGAGGGGATGTGTATGGGTGGAAGGGGTGTACTCCACAAATGATCTAAAGCCAGTTCCATGACACAACACTGCACAGAACACTGGTCTCAAGAAGTGTTGTCAAAAACTGACTGAGTATGATAAATGAAGATAATTGGAATTTTTGCGACTATTAAACAATTCCAGTTACACTCTTCTTAAGATTTCTATGAAAATGTCAATGTAAAGTGATTGCATGATGAAATTTGTATATTAAAGAAAGAAACCTTTATTGGTGAACCTGGAGCAGTCTGTCAATTTCAGAAAAGGATTTGTGTACCTAGTAATCTGGGAGATCAATATATTCTAAAAGCTATATTATAAATAATTTTCTGCATTGAGAATTTAAAAAATGAAAATAATTCAAAACCCTTTTTATATGTTACCTTTGATTTGGTTTGTTTCATAATTAAAATGTTTAGGGTCACCTATACTCACTGGCCAATATACTACAAACTAAAAGAAGAGAAAAGACAGGACTGAACTACAAATAATTCAAAGCTTTGTGGAAAAATATGGAACAGCTTGTGGCTGCTCTTGCTGATCCCAGAGGGCCAGAATATTATGCAATGAATGTCCCTAATAGTCTGGTCAGGGACATTTGGAAATGTAGATGCAGGTAACAATGTTCAATCAGCACTACTTTGCAACTCTGTAGTGTATTATAGCCATTGACAAAAAAGCTATTTATCTGCACTAACAGCAGCCTACAATGCGCAAGTATAAACAATACTATACTTCTGTAAGCATTTAGTTGTTTTTTTTAGGTGATCTTTATCCAAAGTATGACATAACCAAAATATTTCTCAATAAAACAGGCCCCGGCAAGTATGTGTATTAATTTAATTCAGATTAAACCCTGGCAGAACAACAGCGTGGGGACATTAGATGTCCCAGTGAGCAATAAAACATTGAAATATTGACAAAATTGTATATTCCTTTATATATAATGTATATTATCTGGGGTTCATTCAACAGAACGTCCAAGATGCAGATATATTTAAAATGTGGACTTTGTGCCACATCTTATGATACTAGTATCTTTTAAGCAACTAAACACTGTTCACAGCCTACAAAATTAAACTACATTTAAGAATGCAAAGGAACAAGTAATAGGTTTATTCCATGCTGAAAGAGTAGAAAAAAAAAGCTACCCACCTGAACTACACTTAAGAATTTCCACTTCAGTTTACATATAGGTAGAACACTTCTCAGCTGAGAAAAGTTAATAATTTTAACTGCTCTCAAAACAGAGAAAGATAGCACATTTACACAAATCATAAGGACGCCAGAGAACATCTCACAATATCCTCACAACAAATCTCTTTTAGTGTGCAATGCCAGAAAAAGGCAATAAAAGTGTAGACAAAAAGACAAATGCCAACAACAGCTGTAGAGTTTTGTTAATATATTCTCCGCATCATATAATTCTTATCTTTCCTCATCCCAGAGATGAAATCTCTCTGAAACACTAAAGCAGGCGGAAAAAAATATTTACATTGTAGTAAAAGGGCAGCACAGTGCCACACTGGAAAACTCACAACATGATGGTTTTCGCTGCACTGGTTCCCTGTTATTCCTTCCTATCCACATGATGCTGGCTAGATTAATTGGCGTCTCTAACTTGTCCCTGGTCCTGGGTGTGGTGTGTGCGCGCACATGTGTGCCCAGGGTTGCAGAAAAGCAGACCAGGATTAAGAAGTTTTCTGATGTATAAAACAAGAATTCCAGCCCTGACAAATGTAGAACTGTATATACTGTAAAAGAGCCTCTGTTCTTACTTACACCACATGGGTCATGACTGCTGAAGTGTTCAATAAAAAAAAAAATTAACGGTTAGGGAAGTCCAGCAACTAACATTGCAAAAAAAACAAATTTTACATATCAGGGAGACGTGAGAGTACAGCTACTAAATGAAACAATCAAGTAGGTAGTCCATTACATGAAACAGCATATAATAGAATGTTTATATGTGAAAAAATAATCAATCCCATACATTTAGGCTTAAACAGCCCCTCAAGACAACATAATTCATTAAATAATTTACAACCTTAATCCCCTGGAGTGGGGATCCTGAACGTGATTCATGAGACAATTTTGGAGATTTTTAAAAAGTATTTTTGCTAAAACAATATAAAATGTTAACGCTAAACAAATTGTGAGTCAAATGAAATGTCAGAAAAAAAACTACTAAAAAGAATGAAGTAGGCATTACTATTAAAAAGAAATCAGAATCAGATATTATAACATAATAAATTCTGGCAACAGAGCCCAGAGGCTCTATAAGTTACTATTTTCAACTTTCATGAATGTATGAAACACTTAACCCTAAAATTACAAACTGGCTCCAACTTCATTAAAGGCAAAACATAATCCCTAAAAAAATACTGAGCATGAGGAAAGTAAAAAAAAACAGATCCTTCCACAGTTAATCAGAAGATGAATTCAAGACCAAAGTTTAGCACTTTAGCATTAGTAACAGAAACAGGCTCTACAATAATCCCATGTGCTTGACAATAAAACTAATCTGTAGGGCTGTAATGATAATTCAAATAATTTTCATATATTAAAAAACAATAATCAATTCAATGTTGATGATTTGCAATGATTGTGAACAGTGAACAGTTCTTAAAAATCAATCACAGAATCAGCAACCTGATCATTTACATGGATCTTTTTCCCAAGACAGCAAATGATCATGTGCTGTACTCTGCAAATCGGAGATACCATGGCACTGAAGTATGACATACTGCATATACTAAAACATTTAAAAAGGAAACAGACCTATGCTCAGGAACCATGAACAGGAGAACAGGTCTGCAAGGAAAGCTCTTCCCACTGGTTAGCTAGCATTAGATGTTTGTAATGGTACTGTTGCAACTACAGATTATCATAGTGTTAAATGAAAGACAGCTGAGCATTCACTGTACACAAGTTAGCTAGTTGGAAAGATGTTTAACTTGAGGTGTATGCTTTAGTGCACTGCAGTCTTTCCACTATTCCTCTGTAGGGATAAAGGAAGCCAGTTTAGGAAGCAAGTTTAAATAGGAATAGGTCACTGAAATACAGCCGCAAGAAACTGAGAGGAAACAGGCCATTTCTTTCCATTTGCCACCAATGCAAAATATAAGACTGTGTTTAATGACAACATGTGCAAATCCTGTGTTGACATGACTGAAGTTGAATTGCTTTACATAAAACCAATATCGTACAGAAATCCAAAGTCTATTCAAAAACCCTAAGCAGTGAAATGAAATAGCACAGTAGAGGAGCTAGCAAGTAAAGAGATTATACTGAAATGCAATATGAATCGTTCATGTTAACTGCAGTTGTAAAATTCCCATAGCAATAAAATTGTTTCAAGTTAAAATATGTACTCATACTGAAGAATCATATTTCTAATATATGCAACACAGTTATGGAATACCCTATGCATATATGTGTACATGACTATATTAAAATGTCCTATTTATCACATGGACTCCCTGTGTTTGAAAACTTTACAAAATATGTGGTGAAATACATAGATGTGAGGAGACAAATATGAACTGCTGAGTGTGATAAATATTATATTGTGCAACATATGTAATCTGCATATTTAAAAAACAATGCAATAATGTATCTCTTCCTACAACCATTTCAATATTATTATCTTTTATTTTATTTAGAATTAATTTTACCAACATATAATATTAACAAATCTTTTAAGCAAGTTAGGAGCATTATTTTCATCTGTAATTGGTCACAGAAAAAAAAAACATTAAAACATACTATTTGTGGTTTACGAAACTACAGAAAGGCATATTCAATGCTTTAAAGTCTCTCAGTAAGCAGGAAACAGATTAAGGAACAAGATTCAACCTCCACAGCATTTTAAGATTCTCCTGTGATGAGATACTGCGCTTGTGTCATAAGCAAGCATTCCATATCCAATTCCAGACAGATGATCTTATTTTTCTGTGTCTAACAGTAATTATCGGATACTAATGTGTCTTTCTGTGCAATTCAAACAATCAAGAATTTGTGCAAATATAAGTTGTAGATAAAAATATATTTTTAAATGATATATTTCAATAAATTTTAAATAACCTGCATATAATTACAAGTGGAATATATAAGAAAACAGCCAGATTTGTATTTTAAAATATTTTTCTCTACACTTTGAGGTATTAAATTAATTTCATTTATATTCCCTTCACATTGATGGATCACATTTAAACATTATCACTCATACAGTTAAAGGTGTTTCTGCCATATGAGTAGTCCACAGCTAAATGTGCTGTCTCTACATAGTGGTTACCTAATAATGCTAACCTAATATCAACATAACAGCTTAGACAGCGATTTGAAACTCGGTTAAAACTGACTGTTCACATTTATAGCAAAAACACAAAGGCATACGGATGGCTTTCTTAATTAAAAGATCTCATGCTCCCTGCAGCAAAAAAATGTTCTAATTAAATGTGTGCATCAGAGACACGATGCCTTTGTTTATGGTAGATGATGAAGGTTTTGGGGAGATAATTCAGACATTTCATCCTTGGGAATATTAAAGGAATTAATATATCATGCATGTCACCAAAAGCTAAAAACCAGCGTGAGATCCACCGATCACATGATTTCTGCACAAACCTTGCCACAGAGGCCTAGCTTGTATTTAACCATCTAAAAATACAGAGCTACTTGAGAAGTGATACAAATCAGCCAATACAGATAAATGGAAGGGAGAAATTTTGCCAAGATTTAAGCTTCCCTCAAGATAGGTTCTAGTTTGTAATAACGACATAAAAATAATGGCAGCTGTGAAAGTGTTTCAGCATGTTACAGATGGTCTTCATTGTGCTGTTCTGGCCACACCCTCTAACATTACCCTGTATGAAGAACCCCTCCATCAGCAGAGCCAGTGGTGCAGCAAGGCATTCCACTGAACATTTCAAAAGACTGTTCGATGACACCAAAATAACAGCATGTGAATAAATCTAATGCTTTAAGAAGTACTTCTTGTTCCCATTATTCAAATAATCAAGTTTAAAAAGTCTATACAATATTAGAATACCTTATATTCAATTGTTCCAGCCCTACCACACTCCACCACTAAGTGGTTCAAGTACACCAATGTTTAGGGCTACCATGAAATTTTACATGTGAGAGAATTAGATTATTCATACTTTGCAGTTTTGTTTACACATGAAATATCAGACATATTGGTTCAACAATCATATTAACATAACATCTGCTATCCAATGCTTTACAGAGCTTTTCCACTAACTACTCATTGCAATCTGTAGACTAAAAAGAGGCCTACATACATGAGCTGAAAACCAATCAAAGCAGATCTTTACTCACTGCATTCTACTGAAATAGATCTGTACAGTTTTCAAAATGAGAAAACGAGTTTGTCAGTTGCAATGATACCCCCCACCCCCAAAAAAAAACTTTTGCTTACCTGTAGCAGATCCTGGAAAAGGGTTTGTCACAGCAGAGGAAAAGGAAGAGGAGGATGCACCTCCAAAAGGAGTCATCAAAGAAGACCCTCCAAATGGAGTCATGGAATGACTGTTGTAGTTACTTGCTGGTCCCTTTAGGGCTGGAGACTGGTTCAGCTGGGTGGGATCAGGGCCATAGTGACCGACATGGGCACTGACAGACTCCGTAGTGTTTTCAGGCCTGTATTTCATCGTTGGGCCTTTGTCCTCTTTACTCTTTATACAACCCATAGTCACGTCTAAAAGGGAAAAGAATAAACTCAATAAATATACATACCTTAAAATCACTCTGAATACTCTGCGATATATCTAGAATGTTACTGCTTCGTTCACCACATTTCTGTACATCACATTGAACTGGCCAGGTGGAACAGGAATGCATAGGATGAAGCAATGTTTTACTTTTGATTTTTCATGCAATTGAAGACAATTAACACTGGGCAACCAAACATCTGATTTTATCAAGTCTAAAGTACCAAAAAAGTGCCACTGCATCCTACACACAACAGTCATAGGTTCAGAACTTCCACTGTTAAAATCCTTTGTGGTCAAGAGAACGAGAATGGAGTTCCAAAGTGTGTCTGTCTTCACAAATGTCAACAGTGCTACACAAACCTCACCACAGTAAGCATATTGTTTAAGCTTTTAAACTTGAGGACTTAGAGCACACCAGTACACCACAAAAATGTTCAACTTACATTCCTGGTTTTTGGACAGTTCAACAGACTTAAAATTTTAGGCCTGAAGGAAATCTTACACTTAAAATAAGATTATTGTTTGCATACATTTTACCACAACAATGGAAGCAATGAGTTTAACATTAAATACATACATGGCCTTTAATACAAAATGTTTCATAAAGAGCATGGTGCTGTACAGTTCGGGATATTTATTTAATTGTAAATTCCTAAATATTCATTATAAGAGAAAGAATCCACAATCATTGTGTTACTTAGAAATGGGATACGTTAAACCTTCTTTCATGCCACTGTTGTTGGAACCTTGTAAATTAACAGAAGCCAAAGGAATTCAGAAAGTTCCCTTGCCAACAAGCAGTTTTCAAGAACTTAAACACAAACACCTGGTGACCTTTGCTGCAGTCCACTAATCTAAATCCCAAACATCCACGGAGTTTTCAACACTTTTCCTCCTCCCTCACCCATCAGCCTTGCAGAACCATTCCAAGTCTGCATATGGGGTCTACCTCTGGAAGGTACAGTCATGTTTAAGAAGGGTACAAACACAAGATCCTCATGACAATGCTACAAGCAAAACTGCGTTTCATTGCTCTAAGAATGTTGTCGCGTTGAGTCAATCAGATCAGCCTAGCAATAAAGTGGATATTATAACAAAGTAGAATGGAGAGTGAACCTTTAATTCTAGTTTCATTCATTATTCCACAGCAAGACACAGAAAAACAATGTGAATTGACAAGATAGTTCAAATAGTGTATGTCAGGTAAGCACGTAAAGGGAAGTCCATGTTGTTATACTAGCCTTTACAAATCTTAAAACAAAGAATTGTGTACTGCCAAAAAGTAATAGGAAAAAATTCAGAGGCAAAGAAGAGAAAAGGCATAACTTGTGGAAATTTCCAGTTATACTTGTACAACCAGCTAAATCCCAGAGTTCATTTTTTAAAGATGAACCAAAAGGCCCTATGGATATTGAAACAATGTATTCTTCAGAAATGGAAAGTGTGAACGAACAGGTGGCTCACAAGGACACTCGTCAGCCTCCCATGGTCAGACTGTTATGAATTGGCTTCATCACTCTGTTCTCCTCCCCACTGATAGCTGATGTGTGGTGAGCGTTCTATGGCTGCCGTCGCATCATCCACGTGGATGCTACACATTGGTGGTGGTTGAGGGGAGTCCCCACTACCTCTAAAGCTCTTTGAGTGGAGTGTGTAGAAAAGTGCTATATAAGGGTAAGCAATAACAGTAAATGAAGAAAAATATTATACATTTAGGGACTATTTATCACCCTTGAACAGAGAAAAAGACAGTGCAAAGGCTTTCCTTGTGAAGGGCCTTGGAAAGAAGGTTGTTTTCAGACTTACTTTGAGATTTTTTTTAGTAACAGAGAAACCACAATAAGGATTTAATAATAGACAGTTTCCCTCTGTTTCAGAGATTGAGATACTAGTGAGTAAGGGGGATGTTTTAAGACTGAAAGAAAGCAGAGAAGGGACCATGGAAGAGAGCAATACATTATACCACTGGTGCACAGATTATCAAAATTTCTAGTTGTGTGTTTACCATTTGAGACTCACAAGTAGGCTTAATTGCTCTATCAAATTTATCAAAAGAATATTGATGTCCTTTCAACTCAGATTGTTAGGTCTGGTGTGATGTCATCAACCTCTTGACCTCTTGGTGCACTGCAGACCAAAAGTAATCACTTAATGCACTTCAAACACAGCAACACAACCGCTATTTAAATTACCTTTCTTCACATTAAAGCAGTTAAAGAATATGTGCATGTTCATATTCATATTCCAAATGTTGTCATGGTACATTCATTCAGGCACTCCTGACCCATCATCAGCAGTGAGTAGCTTAGATTTCACTTCAGGTCAACAATTCCATTTTCAATGCTCAATCCCTGTACAGCCAAATCTCTTAAAAATCAAACGATCATTCAAAATCATCGACTTGTTTTTTCCGTTATGGTACCGAATGCCAGCATTTGGACATGCTGGCAGTGGGACAACAATGACACTTTGCACTGCTGATTTCTTTTGGCTGTTTCAACTTGTGTAACACATATGAGGACTAAAGAAAAGGTCGATGCAATCATTTTGACAGTTCTTGACCTTTCAAGGGACACAACAAGAGAGTCACTGTTCCTCTTACAGATTAATACATGGTCTGGCTCTCCCACTTATGCATTAATCGTTGACCAATTTAATCTTCTTCAAGAAGATAATAACAGAAACAAGACTAGATGAGTAACCCATTCACTCCTGCCACGTTCAAATTTGTTCTGAAACCACTGCCTAACAACTATGATCACTTTTTTCCAAAATGGGGAAAAAATATTATATACTTCTAAAAAATGTATAAAGGAATCTTTTTTGATGAATACTTAATTTCTGCAGCGAATACCACAGACAATATAATGTGAACACAGCAGTGTAATAGCACACTCACTTTAAGCCTGTGTTGAGTAATTTGCACCCCCCTCCTAAACTTGTTCCTATCCACAACTCTATAGCATATATTGATGAGAAGATTTTAAAAAGTGGACGGGATAGAGCTCAAACCCTGGATATTAGTAACCCAGCTGCCAAAAGTGCAACAGGTACACTGGAATTCATGGGAGCTCCTTGGGATGTCCTGCCATTCCGATGTCCAGAAATTTACAGGGGATTCGGACACCTGAATGTTGATTCTAGCTAAATGACTATACTAGATGTGCAGAATGACACCTACAACTTGGAGACTACAAAGTCAGAAATAGGAGAGCAAAAGGTGAAATGTGAAATCGTCCAACCAATTGTCTCCTGTTGATTTGAGTGTCACGGACTGATCATATGTCTGCAGTTTCGGTGGGTATCAGTCAGTGTTTTGTGATTTAGCAAGGTTGTTTTGCTTTTGATAAGAAGTTGGGAGCATGCATGCGGTGCATTTTTGGTTCTCTAACATTACAATGGAGTTTCAGGGCTGAATGCTAATTCAGTCAAGCTCCTAGTGTGTAAAATCAGTTTACACACTAGGAGCAGATATGATCAAAGTTATTATGCATGCACACATCAACACTATTAAGGACAGATATGCAAGAACTACAAGAGATGAAACTCATTAGCGTTCAACAATTATAAGTTTTAAAGGATACAACGCTGGCGAGTTCATTATAGGTTGTTGATCATCCTATATAAATAGCTCTTAGCTTTTTCTTTGCAGATTCAGAAGTTAAACATCAAAAATGTCCACTGCTGTCTTTCAGTGTTCCTGGGATTTAGATGTATACCATCAGTGTACCACAAGTAGAAAGAAATTGGGATTTAACAATACTGTAATAAAATATATTTTCTCTATGTTTTTCATACAGTGACAGTTTATATAAAGAACGGTGGTAAGAGGCAAAGATTTAACCAAAGAAGGAGGAAAAAAAAATCTTGTGGATTCCTTAAAGATATTTTCTGATGAAGCAGGCAATAGCGGTTATGCAATATGTAAACTACTGGTTTTCTTTTCATCTGGCAAAGCTGCTTTCTTGCTGTGGTATTAATTTTGAGAGTCACAGGATTAAAATGCAATACAAGCTGGAATTTTCTGTCCTCCCCGATGAGACGTACTGTAGTTGCCTACTTCACAGATCCTGTGTGGAAATTGCTCTCCTCAGGTATGCACTTCGGATTACCCAATTGGAAGAGGGATTATGAGAGAAAAAAAAAATCGGTGCATACTGCTCGTTGATGAAAAACAATCAAGAGCTTTGGGGTAAGCATTTTTAAGAAAGCTGGCTTTACGTCAGATGGAGGTCTATTACACAATCCCAAATGACAAGATGCAGCCCCCTCAACAAAAAAAAGTTTGTGGGTGGACATAAGTTGTTTATTCTTACAGTTGTAAGTTGTACTCCATCCACCCAACAAAAATTACCGAACATTATGGAACACAAAAAGCTGTTACTTTTGTAATATTAAAATTCAATCTTTAGACGGGCATTTTTTATTCTCAGTACTCAGAACCCAGTAAAGCTTCAATGCTGATATTTCCTGAAGAAACTACTACATTTTTTGGGCCAGCTTCAAATGGGTTACATCTATTTCATGGAGGCCACAATTCCAAAAATCAGGCTATGAGAGAAATTGCCCCACCTTGTCACCTCTTTGTTGAATTTAAGACTAGCAGTATTATCACCATCTAGGCTTCTCTCAGATCTCAAAAGCTAAAGAAGGCTGGGCCCTTTCAGAGCTAAAATGGAAAACCTGGAAGGAAATTCAAGCTGCTAATGTAAGTGGTGTAGGTGGATGAGGGTGTGGCGCTTCCCCCTGGGCACATATTTCCAAACCAATGCCTGGCATGCATCAGTGACTGAAGACTGCTGTAGGAGGGGCCATCCATTGGATGCGATCTTAAAATGGCCTCCTTAAAGTTCCCCTTTAAGACAATGAGTGAAGCAATTTGTCCCTTCTCTCCCTGATCTACAACATCGTAGAAAACACCACAAAAGCTCTAACAATCACCCAAAAAGAAAAGTAAAAAAAGAAATAAAGCATCTGACAGCAT